ACAAGCCCCAACCCTAGCCCTGGAGAAGCCGGAGCCTTCTTGCCTCCCCCACCCTAGCCTCTTATCTGGTAGCCTTGGGACAGAAGCTCAGGCTCCCAGCCCACTGGGTGCCCCCAGGTCTTGGTGGGACAGATGAACCCCTTGGCTGAGGACCCCACCTGAAAGGCCAGGCAGCTGCAGAGGAAGCCAGGAAGATAGCATGGGGAGGGCAGGTGGGAAACTGAGAGGCCATGGAGGTAGCAGGGAAATGAGGAGCCCCCTTCCCTACACAGCCTGGGCCATCAATGGGACCCCACTTGGGGACCCCCAAGTGTACTTTTGTTACACACTCCATCATGGGCTCCTTGTCTGCCAGGCCCTCACCAGCTCCTCCTGCATGTCTATCCACACACACAGGGACAGGTGCACACTGGGACATACATACAGGGGCATGCAAGCAGGAACACATGCATGGACATACATTCAGGGACACACAGGCTGCCAGACACCCTCTGGAAGCTCTGTGTCTCTGACCTCATGCCCCTGCTCCCTGTTCAACTTGACAGCAGAGCTGCCTCCATCCATCGTCTTCCCATCTGGCTCCACTGGGACCTCTCACCTGCAACTCTGACCCCCAGACCCACGCCAGCTGCCTTGCCTTCCTACAGCTCAGGGTGGGGTTGGGGGCAGGTCAGTGTGGCTTCTGGATGGCTCCCCTCACCCCCTGACTCCCAACCCTCTGCCTAAACAAATCCTCCCAGCTGGTATGTGTGTGTGGGGGGGTGGCGGTGCCAAGGATTAAGGACCAGCAAGAGGCAGAATAGGGCTAAAAGGCCCTGAAGAGTGCTCCTCCCTTGCACCAGGGTCTGGGGTTGGGGGTAAGAGGAGACAACTCCCTACCTCCATTATGCTGGGCTTCAAAGTCAGCTGGAAACCCAGTTGGCCCTCCAGAAGTCTGGTAGGATGCTTGACGGGAAGAACAGTCAGCCTGCCCTCTCCTACCTTCCCAAGGGCCCCAAGTCCAGACAGTGAGATGCAGACAGAGCAAGAGGCCACCCCCCACCAAGGGCCCAGCCCCAGACATGGAGGGGACAGGCTGACAGACACAGGTCAGGTGTTAAGAGGCAGACACACACAGGCAGACCCAGACAGCCAGAGACAGGAACACACACAGAGCAGGAGACCCAGACAAATACTGGCCCATGAGGGGCAGTCAGACCCAGACAGACACCAAGGGCAAGGGCAGAAGCCTGCACGGACCACTGCAGACAAAAGCAGACAGTCAGACCCAGGATAGGCCCCAGGCAACCCCCCCCCCACCATAGGACGGGTAGGGGCTGTGGGTTTCCTCCCACCGCTTCCTTTAGCTGGAAACCTCGCCTTCTTATCCCAGCCTTGAACCTCCAGACCAGGCGCCCTCTGATGGTCCTTCCCTTGTCTTGAGGTCAACCCTTCTAGGGACTTCTCTCCTTGGTAGGTCAAGGTCAGAGCCCTCAAGGAAGCAAACCAGAGAGGAGGTACAGAAGGAAAAGGGTGTCTTGAGGAGTCTCGCACCAGTGTGGCCAGAACCTCGTGCCTGATGACCCCACATTCTAGCTCCATAGTTATCACAAACACAGCTTTTGAGGAACCTGGGTGAGTTCTGTTCCAAACTCTCAGAGCCTCACTATCCTCATCGATAAAATGGGTATCCTAATAATAGGGTGATGTATGTAAAGCGTTATTATTATAACCCTGCCCTCCCAAACCACCCTTGTTCCCAAGAGTTCTAGGCATTCTGCTCTTTAGGACTTTGATCTCCAAGGCAGGAGACCCCACAGGCTCCCTTGGAAGGACCTAGATATCCTGAGCCTGGCAAAGGGGAGCCCTCACCCCATCGCCTGAATGGGGCCCTGTTGGCTGGGTTGATGGATGGTGGGGGAGCACTCCCTACCCTGAACTCCAGACAGGTGTGGGAACGTGACTGGACCCCTGCCCAGGGGCAAGAGGGTGGCCTCTGGGAAAGGGGCTTCATGAGGTAAGGGAATTTCACGGGGGGCGAGTGTTTCGGGGTTCTGGCTCCACGGGGTTCCGATTTGGGGACAGGTCCTGTCGCGGCAGACCTTATGGGGGTTGGGCTTCAAGGGAGTGGCCCTGAGGACTCCGTAGGGACGCGGTCTGCAGGGGTCTAGGCAGGCCGGCTTTAGAGGCGGGTCCTGAGGGGCGGGGCTTGGGGCGGCCGGCGCTCCTAAGGCCAGCAGGGTGCGGAGAAGGGGGTGGGTTCTGAGGGGGGGGGTCTGGGGGCAGGCCTTAGGAGAACTGGGCTTTTTGAAGATGGGCTTAGAGGGCGGTTTTGTGAAGGGTGAGTTTGGGGGCGGGCTCCATGGGGATCTATACGGGCGAGCTTTAGGGGACGGGTCCTCAGAACCGGCCACCGGTGGGTGGGCGTCCAGGGGCAGGTTTCAGGGAGGGGCCTGGGTCGGTGGCTTCCGAGGGGCGGGTCTCGGGTCAGGCTCTGGGTGGGGATCTCGCGAACCAGGCTTGGAGAGTTGTGCAGGCTCAGTCTGCCTCCGCCAGGGGGCGTTTTGGGGTTCACTTAAGCTCAGCACACTTGGGATCCCTGATCCACCTTAGAGTTACTCCAGGGGGGGTGCTTTAGGGCTCAGTATTCCCCAGGGAAGTGAGAAGGGACTGGAAATTTGAAGGCCTCTCCTCAGGCAACCCCCGGGGGTCCCCAGACCCAGGTGGGGGCGGCCTTTCCTGAGACTGCGTGCGGGGGGACCCCGGGGGACGGGCGCCCAAATCTGCGGGTCCCTGGAGGGAAAGACTGCGGACCCCGTTTTACAGATGAGGGAATAGGGAGGGGCAGCATCTTGGCGTAGTCGGAGTTCGAGCAGGGATTTGACCGACGTCTATTTTGAAGACCGAGGGTGAGCGACCCTGTACCCCCACATCAAGACGCAGCCCCTGCGTCGCTGCGTGCATGGGCACTAACCTCAAAAGGACCTGAATTCAATGTCGAGACCCTCCAGGCGGCCAGTGGGTGTCCCTTCTAGTCCTCTGGCTTCTCCCCGGTCCTGTGGGCAGGTGGACCCCCGGGGGGGGGGGCTGGCAGTGGCCCCACTGCTGGCCCCGCATTTGCAAAGGGGAACAACCCCCCGGGGTTGTTGTGATTCATAAACAATAGTGCCAGAACGCCCGAGACTCACAGAAGGTATTACATTGTATTAAAATGACTTGTTTATCTCTTTGTTGCATCCATGTCCCGGGGGCAACAAGCGCCAGGCAGCCAGACGTCTTGGGGCCACTAGGAATCCCTCCTTTGCCTCTCACTAGCGGTGCCCTTTGGCCTCAGACTCCCAAACTGACAAATAGGAGTAATCTGCACCTTCTAGGGACGTTTTGAAGGTGATTTGAGTAAATGCGTCAAGAAGCAAGCCCAGCGCCCAGTACTGCTATGTCTGTGTAGCAAAGGCTACATAAATATCTACAGTTATTATTATTTATATTTATCTTGTGCTTTTTCCAGGTCCTGGAGCAGACAGGTCCTGCTTGCTGACTTACTGAGTCAATAGGTCCCTCCCTCCCTCCTCTCTCCTTACCCACCTTATTGGGGTTTTCTGTCCTCCGCTCCTCCAGTCTTGGCCCCCTGGAGAAGTTGCCAAGGGTTTGGGGGAACATTCAACCTGTCGGTGAGTTTGGGCAGCTCAGGCAAACCATCGACCGTTGAGTGGACCCCGAGGCCTGGAACTGCCATCCACCTATCATGACCCTACCTTCCAGATCTGGGGGGCCAGGGTAGCTCTTAGAGCCAATCTGAGCACCTCTCCTTTAGGCCACAGCGAAGGTCACAATCAACATTCATTGTTGTCGGTGGGTTGTGAGGACGGAGGCCAGACCCACCGAGGGATGAATGTCACTGTGGCTGGGCCGGACACAGCCTGAGGGGAATGGGCTAGGGGACAAGACCCACTCATACAATGCCCTGACCTCAGCCTCTCACCCCTTGGAGAGAGCTGGCATCTGGGATCCTGGTATCAGGCCTGACTTGGGGACTAAATCCTTGGGGGTGTGTGTGTGGGGGGAGTTTGGGGGGCAGATCACAAGCTCAGGGCTGGGCACCTGGAAAATCTGTCTGAGGGGTTGGTAAGCCCCGTTCCCAGAGGGTTCAGTAAAGATTTCTTGAATGAGTGAATGAACGAATGAATGAATGGGGCGGGCAGGCAGCATAACCCCTCTTCTCCATGTCCAACTCCGGGGCCCAGCTTTCTCCCTCTCCTTGCCCAGCACCCACAGACCCCTGCTCTACCCTCGACTGCCCACCCACTTAGCACCCTGGTGCCCGCTGATCCTTCCATCTGCCAGTCTCTGCCCCACCTGGTAACTCCTGGAGGTCTTATTTGAGGGGGTGAGGATTGAGGCACTGGCGAGTGCTGGGGGTCCCCCCATTAGCCCACCTGTGTCTCTGCTCCCCTCCATAATGTTTTGTCTCACCTCCTGTCCACCCTAGGGCCAGCACCTAACCTTGGGGACTACAGTAACTGGATGGGGGAGGCAGGCTTTTGTGTTTGTGTTTGTGAGTAAGTATGGGCAGGTGGCCTTATACCTCCGTGAGTTCATCCATTAAATGGGGGTTCCACTGAGATAATGGGTGTGAAAGTTCCCTGAGGGAGACCTGAGCTAGGGGCCTTAATCCTTGTCCCTCCCCCTCCCATGAGCCAGGCACCATCCCCCTTCCAGAGATAACTGGAGCATCAGTAGCTCCCCCCTTCCGCAAAGAGCCCAGGGGCACCTGGCTCCTCCCCCCCAGCCCAAGGGAAGGAAGACAGAAGTTACTAAGTTACTGACTACATCAATGCCTGTCTTTGGGGTGGGGCTTCCACACACCCCCTCCATCACCCTGTGGGGCAGGAGTGGCAGGCCTCACAGGCCTCCTCCAAGGAGGGGTAGGCAGGGGTAGCCCTCCCAGTGCCCTCTGGGGGGGTGTCTCCCAATTGTGGTGGGGGCCCCCTGCAGCCTGTGTCCTGTCACCCCCCATTGCCCCCCGCCCACCCAGAGACCATGCATCCCCTGGCAGGTGCATTTATGGGGGAGCATGAGCAAGACCCCCTGTGACAGTAAGGAACCTCCCACAGCCTGCTCCTCCCCCTTCACACCCCCTTGGAGGTATAAGGAGGGAACTGACAGCCCAGACTCCTAGGCTCCAGAGAGGGGAAGGGAGGGGCAGAGAGGAAGGGGTAGAAAGACGAGCTTTGGGCACGCAGGGTTTATTCTCTCTCTGCCTCTCTGCCTGGCACACATTGCCCAGCTATGGGAACCTTCGACCTATGGACAGATTACCTGGGTTTGGCACGCCTGGTGGGGGCTCTGCGCGGGGAAGAGGAGCCCGAAACCAGGCTGGACCCCCAGCCACAGCCAGCTCCAGGACCAGGGGGTCAGAGGCCCAGCCCGGAATCACCAGCTCCTGAACGCCTGTGCTCTTTCTGCAAACACAACGGCGAGTCCCGGGCCATCTACCAGTCCCACGTGCTCAAGGATGAGGCGGGCCGAGTGCTGTGTCCCATCCTGCGTGACTACGTGTGCCCCCAGTGCGGTGCCACGCGCGACCGTGCCCACACACGCCGTTTCTGCCCGCTCACGGGCCAGGGCTACACCTCTGTCTACAGCTACACCACCCGCAACTCAGCTGGCAAGAAGGTGTCCCGGCCTGACAAGGCAAGGACGCAGGACTCAGGGCATCGCCGAGCAGGAGCAGCCTGTGCAGGTGGCTGGGGGGACCCGGTGTGGAGGGGGCCGACCCTGGGCTTGTGGCTAAGCCCTCGGGGCCTCTGTGAAGTAGGATTAACCCCAGTGCCCACTTTAGAGGGTTGGGGGGAAATAATCAGTGTAGAAAACTTAGAACAATATTCTAGAAGTGTTGCCCAGTGTGAATAAGCTGGGGCTGGGATTAATCTGTGGCCTTGCGCAGGGGACCTCTCTGGGCCCACGGGGAAGTTGCTCTCCTTTTCCAGGCATGGGGTGCTCTGTCAGGGAGGCTATGGGGACTTGTGTCAGGATCTGCAGTTAGGTGTAGCAGGGGCTCCAAATCCTGTTTGGCACTTAGGAGCTGTGCAGCCTGAGAGAAGTTCTCAGCCTCTCTGAACCCCAGCTTCCTCATGCTCCTCCTTTGTTCACTCATTTGCCAAATAGCTTGTGTGCCTTTTGTGCTAAGTGCTGGGCTGTACCAGCAGTGGAAAAAGGTAGAAGGGAGAACAGCATTTAAAACAGTGTGCTGAGTGCTGAATGGAGGAGTCTAGAGGAAGCACCTGATCCTGATGAAGGGGTCCAGGAGGGCTTCCTGGAGGAAGTGACTTCTGGAAGTCTAATTTGGTTTGATGGATGCTAGAAGTGTAGCCCAGGCACTGGGGCTCGTTCAGGAACTTAGTAAGTTCAGTGTATCTGGAACAAAATGGGTGCATGTCTGGTAGAGAGGGAGGTGTCAGAGATTTGGGGGCCAGCAGAAGAGCCTATAGGTCTTGGGCTTGGGTACTAGGGAACCACGGAAGGGGCAAGACCAGGTCTGCATGTTTGAGTGTGTTAGACCTCAGCTGACTGGTTGGATCGTGAGGACACTAGTCCTCCAGGCAGAGGTGTCCATGGCAGCAAGGAGGGAGAGGGGCCTGGCACCCAGGGAAATGTATGTTTGGAGAGGAACATCGGGAGTTTGCTGTGTGTGGATCAGCTCAGGAGGGCAGCTGGGGTGAAAGCTTATGAAATCTTTAGCTGAAGCCTCCCTGAGGTCTGACTCTCCCCACACTGCTTGGCCCACCATGTGGGGTCACCCTGTCTCATCAAATGTGGATTCCAATTCTGCAGGTCTTCTGCAAGTCTGGGTGGGGCCCCAGGACCTGCATTTCTAACTAGCTCCCAGCCGTGTGGGAAGGCCAGGGAGCAGGGAGGCTGCAGGCTTTGGGTAGCTTGAGCATACGTGGCAGTGGTTGTTATTATAGACGTGAAAGGCCTCAGCTCCTGTGGGGTTTTAAAGCAGAAATTGTTTTAGCAACTTTGTCTTTGCAGAAGTCAGCCAACAGGGAGGTGGGCCTGACTGGGCCATACTGCTGCCCTTTTGGGTGCCCTGTGTGGGTACAGCCTCCCCATCAGAGTGTGAGCTCCTTGAGGGAGGTGACTGGGCGGGACGACCCCACCCTCACCCCCGGCAGCTGTGCAGGGAACATTTGATCGAAGAACTGAGTAGATACTATTCCCCCAAGAGATTCAATGAGATCCACCTGGGAGGTAGGGGGAGCTGAGGGGACATAGAGATGATGGTCTCAGAACCTTCTTTTTTCTCTTAAGTTGGAGGGAACAGGAAAGTTCCCTTCCCCAGGCATGGAGGGTGGGGTGGAGCCCCCCTTACCACCAGACTGGTAGAAAGGCCAGCCTCCTGTAATGTTCTGGGTGTAACAACAGAGCCCTGCGGCCACAAGGGGGCAGCACAGCCAGCCAGAATTAAGAGTTTCTGTGCTTTGTGTCCAGCTCTGGGTCCCACCCTGGGCTGGCCAGGCCTGGAGTGTCACAGGGCTGCTATCCTAGGAGCAGCCCCCAGGTGGTGCTAGAGCCCCAAAGCCCTGAAGTTTGAACCTGTACTTTGGGAGCATTGAATCATACCCTATTATTGTTTTTCTCCTTTTAAAATCCAGGTTCCAAAGGTGCTGGGAAGTCTTCTGGACCTTCACCCTCTTCCTGCTGCCCCTCCACTTCTGCCTAGGAGACTGGTGCAGGGAGGATGGAGATGCTGCCTTCCCCTGGGTGTGGGGACCCAGGCTCAATGGAGGATGTATTTTCCGGGAAGATCCACCTTGCAGGGACCTGTCCCTCAGCCCTTGCCCCAGCCTGGAGGCCTGGTAAGAGAGCAGGGCCTGAGAGCACAGCTGAAAGAGCCCCCATGAGGAAGGAGGTGGCCCTCAGACACCCTGGCCCTCCTTCCCCAGCACTGGGCACCCAGTCAGCACTCAATAAATGCTTACGAATGGATCAGCGTAATAGCCCAGGTCTTGGGATGAGGTAGCGTGAACAGCTCCAGAGGGGCTGGGGCACCTCTTTTCTATCCTGACTGCATCCATGAGCCCCGACATGTCCCCACCTGTTACTTGGATTCTGGCTGATCCTGGAGCATTGGGTGAGCTGCTTTATGCTGAGAAATGGAAGTGGGCACCACAGGGTGACTGTGGGGTTTTGAGGGGTCACCCCAGCACTTCTGAGCACGGCACTCGCTGCTAGGTCAGCGCCATGAAGCCATTTCTATGATGTTTGGAATTTTCAAACTTCCTTCCAGCCATCCCTCACACAATGACATGCCAAATGGGTAGAATTCTCCACATTGGAGGCGGGGGCCTGATCTGAGAGGTGAACTGAGAGACAATTAGACCAAGCCCTCCCTCCTCCTTCAAATCATCCTGACCAAGGAGGCCCTCAGTAATGTTAAGGTCCTCACAGATGCCTCAGCAACAGGGCCATGGAGTCACACGCCAGACTCCTCAGAACAAGGGAAGGACTTGGGGGCGCAGGTGCAGGGCTAGGCAAAGAATGGGAATATGTCCTGGGGGGGTGGGCCAGCCAAGACCTTGGTCAGGAGGCACCACAGAGGTGATTTGGCTCTGCCTGGGGAGAAATGGGAGAGGGATGGAGATCCATCACCACCCAGGTAGTGTGACCCAGTTCTCCTGTGCCAGGGCTGTGTTTGTGGGAATCCCTACTCCCAGTCTGCTCCTCTGGCCTCCAGAGGGCAGCAGGTGGCAAGTGTCCGTTCAAATTCTTCCCCCAAGCCAAGGGCTGGCCTGGGAACCTGGGCTCCATCCCTAATAGCCCACACTGTCTCCCAGAGTTGGGTGGGAGCAGGATTTGGACTTTGCAGGTCCCCTCTGCCCTTGGCTTTGGACTTGAACTCCAAAGGACGTGAGGCCACCGAAGGAGGAGGGCTGGGGTGAGCTGGGGTGAGCTGGGGATGGGAGACAACCCTTGAAGACAGCCTGCTGCCCAGGCTTGGAGCGGGGAGGGGAGGAGGAGAAAGAAGACACAGAGGAGGGCTCCTTAGCAGCCCCAAGAGTTTCAAATTGAGTTAGGGGACACCACATCCCAGTTACCCCCAGCTGTTTGCAAGTGCTGATTGTATAGACCAGAGCTGCTGGGGCTTGAGACCCACGGAACCAGGAGAATGGACATGTCCTGGCAGGTTCAAGGGAGGAGCTGCACATCCAGCCAGAAGTGGTGGGGGACCTTGACCCCCCCCCACTTCCCTCCAGCATGGGGTTTCCCGGGGTCTAAGAAGGCAGTGGGAGGGGAGACCTGCCTTGACTGTAGGAATCAGGGTGTGGGAGTCACAGGCCAAAGGACTGATAAAGTCTCGGGTCTGGTCAACCTTTTGGTCACCAATTTAGAAGCACGGTGTTCTATAAAATGGGTTTGGCGGCAGCACCTGCTTATGACATCATCATCAGGGTTGTGTAAGGCTTGGCACTAGCTGTGTCTTTATCAATAACAATCCCCCAGGACTGCCTCCTTCCAGTCTGGGGCCTAGAAGCAGCTTGTGCCTCGGAGGATGGGTAAGGCCATCTGAGCACCGAAAGCAAACCTGCCAACTCTCCAGTTGGGTGATCAGCTATGATGTCTCAGTGGGCTTGCTGCTCCACGATATGGGGGTGTCTGTGCTTGAATGTGTACACACACGTGCACACACACAGCCACCCGTTCCTGGAGACTCTGACACATTCAGTAACTTGTGGGGACCCCTTGATTCACAGGGCCCTGCAGTAGCCCAACCTGCCCTCCCGGGGAGGATGAGAAATAAAAGGAGAAAGAGGTGGTTAGGGAGGTTGGTGGGCGGAACATTAAGGAACTGAAAATACCTCAAACCCCAAATAGCAGGTCACAGATCCACACTAGGGAAACATTTATTAATGGTCTAACCAGAAGAAATAAAATGGAAATCCGGAGAAAAACAAAGGTACCACCAACAAAGGGAGCCCTTTTCTCCACCCGGAAAGAAACAAATTCTGAACCTCCCATAACCTGAGCTCAAGAACGAAATTTGCAAATCCAGATAAACATCTGGGTGGCTCTGGGCTCTGCTCAGAAGCAGCTGGCTTCCGGAGGGTGGGGGGCACAACCAGCCTCCTGCTGACTGCCTGTGGCCTCTGCTGTAACCCGGGGTGCGGGGGGGAGAGCAAGTTCCATCCCTTACCAACTCCCAAGGGAGGCAGCTGATATGGGCCTGGCCTCTTTTGTTTCCCATGGGAAGCTGACTTCCGGGTCATCTGAGGGGAGGCTTCTGGGGCCCACTAGGACCTGCTGGAGCATCTTACAGGATAAGCCAGGGGGCACACAGGGCCCTGCAGGCTTTCCGGGGTCTGCTAAGGGAATGTTCCCAGCTGTCTGGCGGCAGCACCTCTGGGGGCCAGCGCAGAGCAAACACGCACAGGCGCTGTGAGTTTGTGCACGTGCACGCACACAAGGTGCTCCTGAGGTGGTCTGGAAGTAATCTACAAATCCCTCCAGGATTGCTGCCCTGGAGGGAGATTCCCAGCCCCCTTTGATGTGTAGGGTGCCGGGGCTTTCCCTGCCAGCCTCGCCTTCCGGTAGCTGATGCGCTTGAAGGCTTCCAGGTCCCGGTGGGCGCTCATGATCAGCCGGCTGCATGGAAGTTGCAACAGGAGCTGTGTGTGCTCCACCAGACGCCCAAGTGGGGACTACACCTCCCATTCGGGCACAAGTGCCTGCTCACACTCCCACATAAGCTCACGCACGTGAACACTCACGGGTCTTGGCCACACAGAGGCAGATGCAGGCCCTGGGCCCTCCCTGCCATCCCCCAAGGCCCCATCCCCCCTGCCACCCCTTCCGCCCCATTCATCCATGGATCCTAGCCCAGCGCTTACTTCAGGTTGGAGAGCTCAACAACAAGACCGTGCACGGTGTCTGTTGCATCCTCCATCCTGGCGGCTTCACAGGCCTTGATCCCTACACAGGTCCTGGCGGGAAAGGAGGGAAGACAGGAGGTCTGACCTCACTGGACAGCTCTGCCAAACTCCGTTCTGGGGACTTTTGCTGGGCCTGGAGCTGTCTTCTCTAGATATTAATACCTTTTCCAGATATGAAGCCACCAGAGGCAGAGCGCTGATGGCCAACCCAGCTGGCTCTACCATCAAGAGCACATCCAAAGTCCAGCCTCTTCTCCCGACCACCTCGGTCCTTGTCTGGACAGTTGCCACAGCCTCCCTGGCCCCCTGTTCCGGCCCCTACAGCCTGTCCCCCATTCAGCACTGGGGTGGGGTGGGCTGTGAAAATAGAAACCCAGCCCAGCACCCCTCCCCGAAGCCCCTGCACCATCTGCCAGCACCTCCAGGCCCCTATCCCCCACCCCCCCTTCCCCTTCCTCCCCTGCTCCAGCCACATTGAATTCCTGGCTGTTCCCTGAGCACTTCTGAGGGCCCTGGAATGTTCTTTCCCCAAAGTCTCCTCCTGGTGGGGGGAGGGAGACTTCCCTGATCACCACGTTAAAATTTTAACCCCTTCCTCACTGTCTTTTTCTCAACACTCCACCATCTGACTAATTTGCTTGTCTCTCACCCTCCCACCCCCACCAGATGGAAGCTGTGTGTTTTGTCCCACACTGTCTCCCCCATGCCCAGAGCAGTTCCTGGAAAAGCTGGCACTGGATGGCCTTAGTATCTATGGAAGGGGTAGATGCACCACAGCACCCACTGTACGTAATGCATGTGGCCTGTGGATGTGGGCAGAGGGCTGCCCTCCTGGACTCAGGCCAACAGCTGTTCCTAAATCCTCCACCCCAGCGTGGCAGTGTCTCCTGGGCTATCACTACAGGGACTCCAGTTCTACTCCACCCGCTTCAGTCACCCTGAGATGGCAGGCCGGCCTGGCCTTAGCCTCTGCATGTCTCACTCAGCCATAGGCCACTGAACCAGACCCATGACCTGCCTGGGGGGCTTCCAGATGTCCATGTGGGTTACATCAGAGGCCACCGGAGATTCAGACATGAATCTCCCTTCTCTTTGCTTAAACAATAGTAGGGTCACTCTAGCTATAAACTGCCCCTGATCCCCACATGTGCGTGCGCGTGCGCGCATGTGTGGGGCAACAGGTGGTACAAATGTGTGCATGAGCAGGAGATGGAAACGTGGCCACCCTCTACGCTGAAGAGGAGGAGGAGAAAGAGAAAGGAGATACACTCTGCCAAGGGCTGTGTCCCTCACCCCTCCTCCACACCACTTGCCAGACAGAAACAGAAACTTGGCCATGAATAATCGATAAGCCGCAGCCTGTGCAGAGAGACCAGTTCAAGTACAAGGTAACAGGAGAGGACTGTCACCCAGCGCTAACGGCTGGCAGGGCTGGGAGGAAGGACACAAAGGGAGGTGATGGACGCGAGAAGCTCTGGGGTGGAGAGAGAGGACCCCCCAACACACACACCCCCCATACAACACATACACACACACACCCCATACCACACACACACACACACCCCCCATACCACACACACACACACACATACACACACACTCTCTCTCTCTCTCTCCATGGCCTGCAGGAGGGAGAGAAAGCAGCCTGCCTCAGGGCACTGAGCCAAGTGAGGAGATGGGGCGAGTCAGGAACAAGTCAGGACCTCTGGAGGGCCCTCTGGATGCCAGAGTGGGGGCGGGCCCAAGGCCACTGGTTTTTATCCCCATCTGGGTCCCCTTCCCCTCCACAGAGATTCAGGGTAAGCTCTAGATCCTCTCTCTAGAAAAACACATCTAGTACATTAAAACAACCTATGGAACTGGGGGCTACTATCCCAGGGGCCCTGGGGAGAGACTCTGGTTTAGCTGTAGATCGAGGATCACCAGTTCTCCACTTGCGGGGAGCAGTGGCACGCACAGTGTGAAAGATGGGGCTCGGCTCCCTTCCTGAGACCCATGGAGGGAGAGGCAGGGCTGAGGTGAGGGAGAGTACGGGGGTGCCAGTGCCAGGAAAGCAGCGACACTCTCCCCTCGCAGGAACTTAGGGACGACTGCTGCAAGGGCAAGAGTCCTGGGTTAGCCTCCCCCTTGCCTACCTCAGCTGGAGCTCCGTGAGAAGGCCTCCATCAGCATGTGGGCTTGTACCGGGCCAACAAGAGCCCAGCCTGGTCCCCGTAGGAAACAACTATGAAGAGAGAACACACCTGTGAATGGCCTCGCTGGCTAAGCCCTGCACTGGGAACGAAGAGGACATGCAGGGCACCTCTCAATTCTCCTGGGCTGTGTCAGGAACACAGAGGTAGAGACTCCCGCAGAAGAAAAGTGGTGCAGCGAAGAGACAGGATGCCCTGACAGCTAAACCTGGGGGCCGCCAACCCGGGCTGCAATCACCCTCCCCATTCAGAAGGAGCAGACAGGGCAATGTGAGGCCTGACCCTGGTGTCCCCTGCTGAGTCTGTGCTTTCTGAAAGGCTGATCTGTGTTGGCCGATGGCTCTGTCCCTGACAGCTGAGGCGTGGCACTGTCTCCTGCTCGTCCTGCAGTATCTAGAAAGGTACAGAGAAGACCCTCAGTGATGCTGAGTGGAGCGAGGTGGGCACCTGGTGTCGAGGGGAAGAGGTTGGCCAGGTAAGCCACCTGTTTTGTGTCAGGGAAAGATTTTACAAATATATGGTCAGGGAAAAATTTATGATAGGGTAGAGAGCCAGATAACCCAGAGAAGCTTAAGTTTCTAAATGTCAACGGTGAGGGCGCCTGGGTGGCTCAGTCAGTTAAGCGTCTGCCTTCGGCTCAGGTCGTGATCTCAGGGTTCTGGGATCGAGCCCCACATCGGGCTCCCTGCTCGGTGGGAAGCCTGCTTGTCCCTCTCCCGCTCCCCCTGCTTGTGTTCCTGCTCTCGCTCGCTGTCAAATTAATAAATAAAATCTTTAAAAAAAAAATGTCAACGGTGGTTTAATGTTCATGGAAAATGTCAAGCTCAATCATGGAGGGGACATACGTCCCTCTGAAAAGAGGCAAAGAGGCTGGGGTAGAGTGGCCAATCCACGGCCTCTCTGAGGAGACCAAAGTCCTAGAGTAAGAAGGGATCTGTTCCAAAGACGTCCTTTCAAAAGCAGGCCCCTCTCCCCTGACGGGCGGGGGATGGGATGAAGGGCTTGAGCTATAGCTTACACCTGCAAATTGTCCCTGAATCCCAAGAACAGATGCAAAGAACTGCTTGTAGCCCAACGGTTCTCACTGGGGGATGATCACCCCTAGGCACTTCACATTGGTCAGCACACTTTGGTGGGGGGAGTGCTACTGGCATCCAGTGGGTAGGGGCCAGGGGTGCTGCTCAGCACCCAAAATTGCACAGGACAGCCCCGCCCCAGAGAACTATCTGGACCCAAATGCCAGCAGTGCCTGCTGTGGACAACGCAGTACCTCCCAGGCATCTGGCCTACTGTTTCATGTAAGTGACTCTGATTTAAAATACAATTCACCCAACTCACCGGGCCATTCTTGGCCCTGAGGAATATTCCCCCTCCTAACATTCCAATCACTGCTCCCACCAGGGCTGTGTAAATGTTTGACACAAGGGCAGTCCTTGTACTGAATGTGCTGGAAGCCATCACTGTACGACCCAAGAGGGACTTGTAATCAGCTTTTATTTTTTTAAAGATTTTATTTACTGGGGCGCCTGGGTGGCTCAGTCAGTTAAGCATCTGCCTTCGGCTCAGGTCATCATCCCAGGATCCTGGGATCGAGCCCCGCATCAGGCTCCCTGCTCAGCAGGGAGTCTGCTTCTCCCTCTCCCTCTGCCCTTCCACCCTGCTCATGCTCTCTCTCTCTCTCAAATAAAAATCTTATTTTTATATTTATTTGAGAGAGAGCACAGGCACGGGGAGCAGCAGAGGGAGAGGGAGAAGCAGACTCCCCGCTGAGTACGGAGCCCAACACAGGGCTCCGTCCAGGACCACCTGACCAAGGGCAGATGCTTAACTGACTAAGCCACCCAGGCCCTGGAATCAGCTTTTAAATGACACTCGTTATGCAGTGTACAGAGGCTCCACCAGCCCTGTGGTGAGTGTCAGGTCCTAAGGGAGCTACTACAAGAAGAAAATACCATGCTTTCCTGGGAGGGGACCTGGGTTTGAAACTGGTCTGTCACTTCTGTGTAACCTCTGTGAGGCCCCCAGTTGCCTCCTCTGAAGCAGTGCTCACATAAGCTGTCCCACTGCGGGGGAGGGGGGCCTGTTGGTGGGAGGCCGCTGCTGCCACTCTCCATCCACCTGCACTCTGTTCCCAAGTGTCCCTGTCCACCAGGTCTTCCTGCCAGGCTCCATCCGGTACCTTTCTGTGCGAACCTGCTTGTGCCGAGGTCGCCCTGACATGTTCGGGAACGCCCAGTATCAAAACAAAATGTGTCCAGACGTCAGCAACCTTGTCAGGGCAGCGCCTCCGCCCCTGGAGGACCTGTCAGGTCTGCCCACCCCAGCTGTCTGCCAGTTCCCTGCACTGCGGATTCTTTGTTGTTTTCAAAGCCCAAAGTCACTGGCAGCCCATCAGGAAGGGCTTGCTTCTTTGCCTGCTGGATGCCACTAAATATCCCAACTGCTTCCTTTAGCCACGGCCCAACAGGCAGAGACTGGGAGTAACTCAGACTCCTCTTCTTTCCAAGGGAGGGGTTTATATCGTTCATGGGCTGAGGCTCTAGTTACAAGATTTCAGCTGTGCCAGCACCTGCACACCTACCTATCCCAGGTGCTTGTGTTGAAGCTCTAGGACTGGGCTGTACTGTGACTTACTTTCCATCATCTTGCTCATCTGGTGGTCGAGAAATGGGTGGCACAGGAGCCGGGGGCCCACATGTGGCAGGGAGGGCCTGAAGTCACCTTGCACGTAAACACTGTGAAGGGCCAGAAATGACCCTCAGCCCTCCCTTGGGAAGGCGGCGCCTTGGAGACCCACATTTGCCCAACTCAGCCACATTCCCCTCTGTGGCTGCAGCAGCTAGCTTTCCTCAGCTGGGTACCAGATGAAACACTATGCTTGTGTTTCAGGGCCGGGTCGTATGAAAAGACTCTCTAAGTGCTGAAATGATAGGGTACAAAATGTTCACTCTGGGAGAGAGGTGGGAACGGTACTACCACAAACCTCACAGGGGCAGGGACCACACCCAATCTGTTGATTCCTGGCAGAGCAGGCTCTTGATAAGCATGTAACTGAATTAATGTTTTAAAGATCTCAACAGGACAGCCGAAGAAACAGAGCCCGATGTTTGTGAAGCAAGTTGGGCTCTGCGCTCCAGGTCAGGGCATCTGAAGCACAGGTGTGGAATCAGGCCAACCTGGGAGCAGACCTGGCCTGTCTCCCTCCCAGCTGTGTCACCTGGGGCAGGTGCCTGAACTCCTTCGGCCTCTTAACCACACCCAGGATGTGGAAAGAGAACCATCTACCTCTCAGAGTGTGACTGCAAAACACTTAACCCAGACTCAGGCGTGCCAGTGGTCAAGGATGTGGTGCTTCCCTGGGGGCGGGGCCAAAGCAAGTCTGCCACCTGCCCCCAGACAGGTGAATGCCAATGGCCTGCATAGGCTCGGCAGCTGGGGAAGGTGATGTTGGGTAGCTCTCCCACAGCCTGCTGGGCAGGCAGATCCCTGAAGAAAGCAAAGTCCCTACAAATTCCAGCAGGAAAGCAAAATTCTGTGTCTATGTTTGAAAAAAAAAAAAAATCGTATGAGGACCCTGAAATGACCCTTAAGATGGGAAAAGGCTCTCCAGTTGGGGACTGAAGTCCTCTCCCCCAAACCCAGCTTTGACGTGGCTGGCTTTTTCAAAGTGACCCCTCAAGGTCTCAGGCATCCTCTTTATATCCCTCAGAAACCTGCAGCTAGAGCCAGGCCCTGAAGTGTGGAGAGGGTGGGTAGAACTGGGGGCTCCAATCAAGGAAGGGAGGACCTCCATCAACTCTGCCTAGGCTGACAGAATACATGAGTGTCACTGCCTGGGCCTCTTCAGCTCCCACACAGACAGACCCCTTACAGAAAGGCAGGTCTGTCCTTTCTGGAAAATCACTGACTCCATACCCACCAAAGCTGCAACTCATTCCTCTACACCCGTGTGCTATATAAACAGATGGCCATGCACCCCAAATTCCACACACCCCCTACCGGGTGGCTTGGGAGAGGCTCACACCACTTGACACCTATCCTGGGATGGTCTGCCATAACGTGGGGAAGCTCTTACCTGCGCAGGTGAGGCTTCAAAGTCAGGGGCTTCCAGGGCATCCCGTATCTGGCTGGCTGGCAGGAAGTCAGGTTCCATGGCCGGGGACTCCCCCAGCACAGCCTGGTCTGCAGAGTCAGGAGGGGGCTCAGACCAGCCTGCGGGGTCCGTGGGGGCATCTATGCTGTCCTGGCAGGCCCTGGTCTCCTGGGAAGGGCCACCCACAGCTTCTCTGTGCACTGGTGGAGCAAGGGCTCCAAGAGACAGACTGAACCCCTCAAGGTCTCGTTCAGGGTTCTGGCGACCTAACTCAGTGGCTTTTTTACGTGTGGGCTGCAACAGCAAAGGCAGTGCACACACACCTCCGAGCCCCTCTGTCTGATCAACACCTGGGCCCATTTCCGAGGCTAGAAGACTGGAATCTCCAGCACCTATTGTGGGCTCTCTTACCCCGTGATCCAGAGCCAAGGAGACTGCAGGGCCCCCCGGGGTGTTGCTAGGGCGCTTGTCTTCCCATCCTGCCTCCCCTCTATGTCCTGTCTCCCCAGCGAGAGGTACGTAGCTGAGCAGGCTCCCACTGCAGCCTCCATCAGGGGCCTTCCCCCTGGGACAGGTAGGTGCTCTGGTACTGGCCTGTTCATCTGGCCTGGCCACCTCTGGAGCCCTCTGTTCTGGCTCGGTGGGGTCTGTGCTCACATCTGTGATGACAATGGTCTCAAGGGAGGAGTGTCTTGGGCTGCTACAACTCTGTTCTGCTTCCCTGCCAGTCTTGCTGGGTATCTGCATGGGGTCAGAGAGGCCCTGGGCTGCAGATCTGGGCTCTGGATCCTGAGTGATGGGACCTAGGACGCCGTCTCCTTCCTCCTGATGCCTCTCAGGCAGGTCAGCCCCTGCTCCCCCTTTGGCACCTGTTTCCTGAAGTGCTCCTTGGTCTGACTCCTCTTCAGCATCACTGCTCAGCAGGAGCCCTTTCTGGCCATGATAGCCTAGAACCCAACACCCTTCCCTGTTTTCACCATCTGTTGTCTTGGCTCCTTGCTCCAAAAGGTGGTCCTGGCTGGCCCTCTCGGAGGCCAAGGGCACTGTCCCCCATTCTGGAGAGGCATCGATGGAGGCTGAGGGCTGAGGATTCCCATTGCCAGGCACAGGTGTCATGGGGTTTTGGTCTCTGTGCTCAGGGTGGGTGCTGTCTACCTGGGTCTGGGCACCCAGCTCCCTGGCCTCCCAGGGAGCAAGCCCTAGGGACTCCTCCCACAGCTGGCTTCTGGCCTGCTGGGCACTGGGCTCTGGTGGTGTTTCCTGTGGAAAGAAAAAGACTCAGCCTTGAGCCTTCAATAATCAACCATTCTAAAGATTTTTGGGGGTGCCTGGGTGGCTCAGTCTTTAAGCATCTGCCTTCGGCTCGGGTCATGATCTCAGGGTCCTGGGATCGAGCCCCACATTGGGCTCCCTGCTTAGCGGGGAGTCTGCTTCTCCCTCTCCCACTCCCCCTGCTTGTGTTCCATCTCTTGCTGTCTCGCTCTGTCAAATGAATAAATAAAATCTTTTAAAAAAATTTAAAAAATAAAGATTTTTTTAAGTAGGCCTCATCCCCAATGTAGGGCTCAAACTTATGACCCTGAGCTCAAAAGTCAAACACTTAACCAACTGAGCCACTCAGGTGCCCCAGGATTTTTCTAGTTGTAATTGCCCCCGTACAAAGTCTCCGATGCTGCACATGATGCACCCAAACAGGGTTCAGTACCAGTGCTGGGCACAGTTACAGCCAGAGCTGGAGGGGGAACTGGAAACACAGGAACCCTCCTTCCATCAGCTCCTTTCCACCAGCATCAGGCACACAGAGGCTCTTGGACAGATCAAGGATACAAAAATGAAGGGGGCCTGTGGATTCTGCCCATGTCAACTGTCTGATGCTAGCAATGGATGCTAGTTATAGAACATGTAACCACTGGAGGAAACCGGAGGAGAGCACACACGGACCTCTCTGAAGTGTTTTTTGTGGTAAAATACACATTACATAAAACTCGGCATCTTAACCATTTTGAAGCATACAGTTCAGTGGCATAAAGTACGTTTACATTGTTGTGCAAACATCACCACAATCCATCTCCAGAACTCTTTTCATCTTCCCAAACTGAAATTCTGTCCTTATCCCTCTCTTCCAGCATCTGGTATCTACCAACTACCTTCTCCCTGTACAACTTTTTTTTTTTTTTTTTTGAGAGAGAGAATGTGTGTGTGCGTGTGCCATGGGGGGTGGGGGAGCAGAGGGAGAGAATCTTAAGCAGGCTCCAGCACGGAGCCCAATGTGGGGCTCGATCCCATGACCCTGAGATCATGACCTGAGCTGAAATCAAGAGTCGGACGCTTAACTGACTGAGCCACCCAGAAGCCCCTGCCTCTACAGATTTGACTCCTCTAGGGACCTCCTATAAGTGGAATCCTATAGTATTTGTTCTTTGGTGGCTAGCTTACTTCACTGAGCATAATGTCCTCCAGGCTCATTTATGTTGTAGCAGGTGTCAGAATGTCTTTGCTTTTAGGGTGCCTGGGTGGCCCAGTTGTTAAGTGTCTGCCTTTGTTTCAGGTCATGATCCCAGGGTCCTGGGATCGAGCCCTGAATAGGGCTCCCTGTTAAGCGGGAAGCCTGCTTCTCCCTCTCCCACACCCCCTGCTTCTGTTCCCTCTCTCGCTGTCTCTCTGCGAAATAAATAAATTCTTAAAAAAAAAAAAAGAATGTCTTTGCTTTTTAAGGCTGAATAATATTTCATTGTATGGATATGCAATGTTTTGTTTATCTATTCATCTATTGAGGGACACTTGGGTCTGTGCTGTTTTTGCAACTTTCTAGGAGTCTATAATTATTTCAAGATAAAAACCTAAAAGAGCAAGAGCGAGAACTGAATTGTCCCTAACAGAGATAGAGATGACCTGAGCAGGGTGGGAAAGGAGGGTTCTGGCTGGGACATAGATAGCTAACTGTCCTTTAGGAGGATGGCAGCTCAATCCAGGCATTCAGGCCTAAACCTAAAGAAACACTGCAGCCCCTGGATCTCCCCCAACTCTGGATGCTGGTAGCTGACACTTCCACCTGGTATCTCCTGGTCACCTCCAATGATACACGACCAACACCAGCTCCTGAGTGTGCCCTCAGAGGCTCCCTTTCTCGACTTCAGCAACTCCATCCTTCAAGCTATTCAGGCCCCAAACCCTGGAGTCAACCCATCACCTCCCTTCCCCTCACATCCATGCCATCAACTCTCCCTTCAAACTGGACTGCAAATAATTACATTTGATAGGTAGGGACTGAGGTTTGTAACCAAGGGCACTCTATAGACAGCAACTGTCCCCCTTCCCGCGCTTCTTTCATACAGTGATCAGCGCTGAGGGAGACACCTCAGCCACAGTTACCTCTCTACACCCATCAAGCCCAACCTTCCTAGGAGGGTCTGCACTGCCAATATCAGACCACTGAAGGCCAGAGCCTGTCAATCTGACTTCAGTGAAGCCATTGGCAACCAGCTGCTGAGTTACACATAGCGTTTCCCACACATTTTCAGTCAACAGTGAAGCTAAAACCCCTCTTATTACTTAGTTAATTTTAAGTAAGCTCTACACCCAACATGGAGCATGAACTCACAACCCTGAGACCAAGAGTCACATCCTCCACCGACTGAGCCGGTCAGGCGCCCCGACCCCTTGTTTTTAAATTAAACTTTTTGTGAGATCACTGTAGATTTATATCCAGTTATGAGAAATGATGGGGAAAGACTCCTCATGCCCTTTACCCAGTCTCCCCCAATGGTAACATCTTGCATAACTCGAGCACAATATCACAACCCAGATACCGACATTGATAAAGTCCACCGACCTTATTTGACTTTCTGGCTTGACCTATACTTGTTTGCGTGTGTGTATGAAGTTCTATACAGTCCCCTCGTGGTGGAGGCTGTGCATCCACCACACAGACAAGATATGGAAAATCTCCAACACGGGATCCCTTGTGCTGCCATGTGTAGCCACTCGCCTCCCTCCCACCCTGCTCCAACACCCTGCCCACCCTGCTCCAACACCCTGCCCACCCTGCTCCAACACCCTGCCCACCCTGCTCCAACACCCTGCAACCACTAACCTACCCACCATCTCTGTAATTTTCTCATTTCAATAACGTCATGCAAATGGAACTCTACAGTGTATCACCTTTTGGGACTGGCTTTTCCCACTCCACATAATACCCTGGAAGTCCATCCAGATTGTTGCGTGTTTCACTAGTTTGTCTCTCTTTTATTGCTTGGTTGTGTTCCATGGTGTGTTCAGCCATTCACCCACTGAAGGATATCTGGGGTGTTCGCAGTTTGGGATGATTACAAACACGGCTGCCGGAAATGCCCACCCCTCACTTTTGTAGGGGCCTCTGTTGCCAGAGACATCATCACCCCCGGGGCTCAGAATGGAAAGGATGAGAGAGTATATTATAAGACCCATTCCCCCACCCGCCCCAAGCCACACAAAAGCTTCCAAGAAGTAAAGCGGTTCAGGGATAGAATATGGGCTGTCTTTCTGCGTTTTTACTATTCTCATGCAACCTGGGGAAGAGGGCCGTGGCCTTGACCGCTTTGCTGCAGGCACAGCTGTCCTTAGCGCCTCGCACGGGCCTGGCACGCACTCCACAGACATCTGTAGCATGGTGTACGGAAAAGGCGCATGCAGACAAGTACAGGTCTAGCCAGTGTCAAAGAAAACCAAGGTTGAACTCAGCTGCCAAGGCTGGGCCAAGAAGAAGCTGTGTCTACTGGGCTCACCTGACTGATTTTAGGGGCTCCACCCCCAAGGTCCTCTTCCCGCAGCTCTGCTTGTCTTGTCACTGTCTTCCTGGGTTTTGCAAACTGGGGGACAAACCTCCTGGCTGAGTTCTGTAAACCAGATACAAGAACAAAACAGCCATAAAGATAAGGGGAGGAATGAGGTTTCAGAAAACAAACGCTAAACCAGTTCCTTTCTTGCAGCCTCAAATGCAGCCCTTGCCCTCCGTCCCCAGCGCAGTCTTACCAGCCTGTCAGCCTGCTGGTGAGGAATGGAGACAAGAACTCCAGCTTCAGGGAAGCAGTGTCATTGGTTATCCATGAGGCCCTAAAACAGGCTCACCTGGGAAAGAAGAGCAGGAACTGGCTCCTCTTCTGGTTGCCCGAGGAGCCTGGAGGGATCTCCTGCTTCCTCATCATGGGAGCTGGGTGGAGAAAGACAAAACAGAGGAGGTTCTGAAGTCCTAGGATGCTGTCAGTGTGTGTGGTGAGGCAAATAGATGAATCCAAAGGCAAAGTGTGCTCAGTCTCCTGTAAGGGAGGCCCTGAAGCACCTGCTTAGAGAGGGTGGGATGGAAAAGGGGAGCAGCACCTAGGGTGACACTTGGCTGCCAAGAAGGGTGCAGAGGCCCACATCTAGAATCCAAGCTGCCTGATCTGGCAGCAGTTTACTCTTATAATCCCAGGAATTGGCTCCTAAGATAAGAACTTAGGAATTCTCATTTGGAATGACACTCCAACCCCCAACTCTGTAAATTCTAGAGAAATGAAGCTGTAGATTAAAAAAAACAAAAAAGTGTCTAAAAAAGGTGTATTCATAATTGCCAAAATGCAAAAGCAACTGAGGCAGCCTTCAGTGGGTAAATGGATAAACTGTGTGCATCCAGACAATGGAGTATTATTCAGCGCTAAAAGAAATGAGCTATCAAGCCATGAGAAGACTGAGAGGAAACTTAAATGCCTATTCGTAAGTGAAAGAAGCCAGTCTGAAAAGGCTAAGTAGGTACTGTATGATTGCCACTCTTTGCCATTCTGGAAAAGGCAAACCTATGAAGATAATAAAAAGATCAGTGGTGCCAGGGTTGGGGAGGGGAGGGATGAACAGATGGAACACAGGATTTGAGGCATCAAAAGTACTCTGTATGAGATTATAATGGTGGATACATGTCATTCTGCATTTGCCCAAACCCACCGAACATACAACACAGAGTGAACTCTGAAGTAAATTGTGGATTGTGGGTGATTATCATATGTCAGTGCAAGTTCACCCTTGGTAACAAATGTACCGCTCTGGTGGGATGGTGATGGGGGTGTGTGTGCAGGGGGGCGGTGGCTATGAGAAATCTCCATACTTTCTCTCCAATATTATCGTAAGCCAGGCCTGGGTAGCTTAGTCTGTTAACTGTCTGCCTTTGGCTCAGGTCATGATCCTGGGGTCCTGAGATCAAGGCCCGCATTGTGCTCCCTGCTCAGTGGGGAGTCTGCTTTTCCCTCTCCCTCTGCCCTTCCCCCTGTTCGTGCTTGCTTGCTCAATTCACGCGGTCTCTCTCTCTCTCAAATAAATAAATAAAATCTTAAAAAAATTATTGTAAACCTAAAACTGCTCTAAAAAAATTAGGTCTTTTTAAAAAGCATGTGAGACTTATGGTTTTATCTAAATAAATGTGGATGTGTATATTAAGAAAACAGATCAAAACCTGGAATTAAAACTAAGACTTCAACTTTAGAAGGGGAACAGGAAAAAGCATGAAGATACAGTAATAGGGTTTTTTTTTTCCCCCACAGTAATAGGTTTAAATTGTATTGGGGAGCTGATGGAGATAGAATAAATCTAGATACTGATAGCAAGAGTCTGTCAGAAAAATTTTTTAAGATTTTTTATTTATTCATCTGAGAGAGAGAGAGCGTGAGCACAAGCAGGGGGAGAGGCAGAGGGAGAGAGACAGTGGGAGAGGGAGAAGCAGACCCCCCTGCTGAGCTGAGAGCCTGATGAGGGGCTTAGTCCCAGCACCAGGAGATCATGACCCAAGCTGAAGGCAGATGCTTAACGACTGAGCTACCCAGGTGCCCCTATTTGAAAATTTTTATTCAGAATGGGTTGTTTGGGTGGCCTGTAGGGTACTAGTTAGGATTTCATTTCTCAACATAAATGTGTTGTTTGTTTGCTTTATATTGTTCTTTTCTGTTATACTTCTATGCACATGGTATTTCTTTTTTTTTTTTTAAGATGTATTTATCTGAGAGAGTGAGCGAGCACATGTGTGGGGAAGGGGCAGAGGGAGAGAGAGAGAATCTTTAAGCAGACTTTGCGCTGAGTGCAGAGCCCAGTGTAGGGCTTGATCCCAGGACCCTGGGATCACGACCTGAGCCGAAACCAAGAGCCAGACGCTTAACCAACTGAGCCACTCAGGCACCCAGCATGTGGTATTTCTT